CTAACCACTGCGCCACCGCTCGACTCCGCCTTAAATAAATATTTGGTGCGGCATCTTAAGCATTGGCACCGGGGAGACAAAGGCGGCCGCGCGTGGTGCCGGCTACACCCCCCCCCCCCGCCTTGTGTCCCGCTTCGGCCTTCATAGATGCTCGCTAATATCACATGACCCAACAGTCTATACGTCGATAGGGCAGTATCTGTGTCTGTACTGTATATAAGTGTGTGTGTGTGTGTTTGTTCGTGCTAATGCGTGCGCATGTGTCTCTCTGTGTGTGCGTCTAACTGCGACGGGTATCCAACTTGAGCAACTGCTTTTCTAAACATCACTGCGTTTACAAAAACAAATTGTGAATCACCACCACCATCATCATCATCATTACCATGATAATCGTCACTACCACCACCATCATCATCAATTGCGTATTTACAAAAAGACTCTCCCGCCCAGCCAGTCAGCCCGTTCGACCACCCCGCTCACCGCCTTCCCCGGCTCCTCCGTCCGTGGCTCAGCACTAAATGGGGCTCTGATCAATACGGGCCCGGCACGGCCGTCGCAAATTGTTCGGACAGCAATAAAACCGATTTCCGAAGCGGCGCGTAATTGGGTCGTGATTTGATCCGAGCCGCCTGCACCGAGCGAGCGACGCTCGATTCTCTGCGCGCCTTTGAATCGAGCGTCGCCTTCTCGTGCCCGGGGAACTTACTCGCTCACGGCAGCAGAAACAGCAGCCGCAGTTGCCCGGTGCCTTCTGCGATCCGGACGAAGAGCGCGTGGACTGAACTGCTTACAGGATTAGTCGCAGTACCCCGAGTATGTTTTAAGTTAATAAATATTGCCTTCAGGTGGATTGTTACATGGCAGGATCGGTGAGAGGTGGTGGTGGTGGTGGTGGTCGCGGCGGATTTGGGATGGAAGACTTCACCCAGCAGTGGATTGATCAGGGCTGATGATGATGATTATTATTATTATTATTCGTTGCGCTGTTGCCCTTTGACCAGAGCGGTGCTTAACGAACGGAATTGTAACTCGCGCCGAAACCATACGCAAGTCGTTCGTTGTGCGGTTTGGCACGCGAGAGTTTAACACTGCGGGAAAACGAAGAGTTAGCGCACGCACGTGCGTGCGTGTGTGTATGTTTATCGAGGTGCGTACTGAGATGTGTGTGTGTGTCTAACGGGAAAGGGGGGTTGGCGGTGGTGGTGCTGCGCAGGTGCTGTGTGTGGTCTTCACGGTTGTTTCACAGATAACAAAAATAACCAGTCCTTTGCTGAGTTTGTATTTGTACGGAAGCTTTCTGTACTCATGCAACCATCGCACTTATCAATCAAACGCCGGAAACAATCACCATAGGCAGCATGACAATTAATTCACGATCACAATTACAGCGTGCAATTGTAAAATCACATATACAGTACAGGTATATGATAAAATCCATCGAAAGCATATACTCTGGGTACAGTAATTGTTTTGTAATAATGTAGATATATACAGTAGAGTATATGTTGTACAGTCTATATACTGTTATTTGCGTATGAAATACGTATTGTTGGAGAGACGATAACCCAAATCGCACGGGAGTGTAATGTGTATGCACGTTGAACTTCTTTCGCACCGTACGTAGCCAACCGCGCTCATCGTAGGTGCGGACACGGTAGGCGCTTCAATTGCGAGATCGGCTCGCCCGCGAGGGTGAGGGTTGACCGGGCTTTTCAGTCATCTCAGACGACGCGCCCCGACTACTTCTACTGCTGCGTTATGATCGGGGAGCGTTTAACGGGAGAGTCCTTCCCCTTCGCGACCGCCGTTCTCCCGGACCGCGATTGCTCGCACGCGCTGGCCGCTCGGGGCTCAGCCCGGACGGAGCGAGCCGGGCGGGGAACGAGGATTGCGTTCGGGCGCTCCGAACGCCATCGCAGAAGAGCGCCGGCTGCACGCAGAATCAGCGAGCTCCTCTCATCACCAAACGCTCAGAACGTGGAGCGCTGCAACCACCACCACCCCCCAACTCATGCCTGCCTCCCTCCACCCCCCCTCCACCTTGGTCCCACCCCCGGCATCGCCCGGGGGCCGCCCCCTCTGGAAAGCCAGACAAGTGAATCAATGGCCGCTTCTTCCTTTCAAACGTCGTATTCACTCCCGAGCCACTATATATTATGAAGAAAACCCTCCCGTCGGTACTTATAAAGTGGTGAAAAGACTGTCAGGTCACGTGACGTCCCAAGAGGACGGGGGGGGGGGTCCGCCACGTGATCTCGGCAAGCGTTCATTAAGTTCAATATTTGCTCCGCGGGGTTTATTTCATTAAAAAAAAATTCCCTCGCGGATGCGCGAGGAGGTGCGATCCACCAACCGAGAGCGGAGGAGGTGGAATTTTCAGGAGTTTTTAGGGAGTCTGGCGGTCGCCCGCGAGGGAGGAGTGAGCGACTTTGGTCGAGGGCCGCGCGCGTCCTCGCGATTGTTATCAGCGAGTCCCGAGGATTGTTCAGAAAGTTCCTCTTGGAAGTTATTCTTGAGCTTCCGCGCGCGCGTGCCGGATTTTGCCCAGCGAGCCGTCGGTGTTTTCGTTGTTCGCGAGTCAGCCCCGCACCGTAGATGCGACGTCGAACTCCGACCTTAACAACAACAACAACAATAATAAAAAAGCTCTGCTCTTTCTCGATCTGCACAGATTTGCGCCGCGCTCAACGCAAAGGAAGAAGCTCGTGGTTTGTCGGTCGTCTCGTCATTGCGACGACTCTCCCCTCCAATCAGTCCCTCGTTCCTCATCTCGTGCATCGATCGCGTGAAGTTAATATTTAAGCCGAACTGAACCACCGTAAACAGCTTCGGCATTGAAGTCTGTGATGGGCGGCGTACGTGTGATCGGAGTGATCTGACCTTGTGGAGTGGAGGGCGCGGGGGATAAGGGCGGAGGTAAGGGGATGGGGGGTCAGCGGGGGCGAAGGGGGGGGTACTGTGGGGTGGCGGTGGTATAGAGCGGGGGTGTGGAGCTGAGAGCTGCTGTTGCCGCTGGGGGTCGTGGGTTGGAGGAGCTGCGACGAGGGGGCGAGTGTGTATGTGTGTTAGTGTGTATGTGTGTATGTGTGTTAGTGTGTATGTGTGTATGTGTGTTAGTGTGTGTGGGGGGGGGGGGGGGTCGAAGTCGCGTGGCCTCGGGCAGAGAAGATATACTGTCGGTTATTACGATGATTAAGTGAAATGTTCTCCTCCTGGAACCTTCCCACGGCGCGTTGACACCGCGAGCGCGCGCGCGCCGCATTCACGGTGTCAGACGAGCGGCGACGGCTGCGAGGAGGTCCGGAATTCATGTCCGCACCTAATGATATGCCGCGACTCGGGATTTTAAAACAAAAATAAAAGTGAGCCGTCACCGCATTTTATCCAAGCGGTTGGCTACGTACGGCGCTAAAGAAGTTCTACATACATGCACACAAGCGGGCGCCTAAGGAAGCGCGTTCAGCGCTCCGAGCGTTTTGCGCAATTAATTTAGCACGTGTTACACAGTGAGTTTAGATTTGAACGTCGATTGGTTCATTTGGTTTTACATTTGCGATGACGACAAGTTGCTGTGAACGTTCCGAGAGGAAATTAATAAAAATACATCGCGTCGAATTTAAAATACTACTTGGCGAAATTTGACACCCTCTCCGATGCGTTCGGCACGATGTTCGACGTTTCGCTCCACGTGCCACACCCTGCGCAGTGATTGTATCCTCAATTGATTTCACGTTGTACGTACAACTTCCCCAGGAACAGCTGACGTCGGGGTCCGGGCGGGCCCGGAAGGTTTTTTTCCCAAAGAAATCAAAATAACGAGACAACAACACGAGGCATCGCGAAACCAAACCAACTGTGCCAAAGTTTCCGTTCCTCTTCTTTTTTTAAATTATAATATTTTATTCGGATCACGAACACGCGGCAATTACCTTAGTTATTTCCATTAAACACGCGACACTGACAAACACACACACGAACACGACGGCGCCAGTGAGTCCACGAGTTCTTGCACGGAAAAGCGAGCGGCGCAGGGCCGGGGTGGGGGGTAGGGGTGAAGGTGGAACAGTTGTGGGGGAGGTGGGGCGGGGTGCAGGTGGGAGAGAAAATTGAAGTTTCGGGTGGCCGGATGGGGAGCGGCGAGGTGGGGTGGGCGTCACGTTTTGTGAGTAGCCGTTAAGTGTAGCGGCGGGTGGACCGAGGAGGTGGACCGAGGAGGTGGAGGAGGAGGAGGAGGTGGTGGTGCCGTCGAACGAGCCATGCAAAAAAAAACCCAAAGAGGATGTAAGACGCGGGGCATCAGCTACCACCACTGGCCCGCCCGCCCGCCCACCCGAACAAAATAACAAAAAATAAAATACCCTTACTCTATTTTACTCTTGAATTTCCGAGCGGGATTTGAGCTGCTACGAACACGGAGTCTACACCGAATAGAGAGAGAGAGAGGCCTATGGACAGCACGGGACTGACAACACATTCAGAAACAACGTTCACGAACGGGGGGAGGTAAGGGGCTGCGGAGTGTGAAGAACGCCGAGACGGCGATAAGAGTCCGAGTCGAGTCGCGGTCCGGGAACTCGCCGGAGTCACCATCGAGGTTCGATGGTCAATAATCATCATCATCATCATTATTGTCGTTCCCACCACCACCACCATCATCATCGCCGTTGTCACCAATGATCGCGTCTAGACGAGAGACTAGGCTGCCCCGTCCGTGCGCTCCCATCCCTTGTGTTGATTTCTCGGTTAGTTCTTTTGTAGCGGCAGAATAACAAGTCGTCCAGAGGACCGTATTTGATCCATCCGTCTCTTCTACTCAACGTCCAACTTTGGAGTTCCTTCCCATAACAAACAAACAAAACAAAAAACCCCGTCGGATTTTTCAGGACGAGAAGAAGAACCAAAAGCACCCAACCTCGTCAATCGCTAATAAGTCAGTGCTGTGCATCTCAGTGCTGTGTAGTACATATACATACATATATACGCGATGCCGCTCTTCAATATATTATACATTAGCAGTGTTTATTAAATACACTCAAGCGCTATGTACATTCACGCTGCGTGGGCAACGGGACGGGGGTCGAGAGGGGAGGATGCCGCCTATCAAAAAATCCCAACTCCACAAAGTCATCTCCCTGCATCACTTAAGCAGCACCCCCCCCTCCCACCCTCCTCTCCTCTCCCGCACCCACCCACCAAAATACTCGCGTATCATTCTGCGTAGGTATATATAATCATCATCATCATAATCGTAGTAATCGCTGATGAGTCTTTAGTCTTCGTTTGTCTCTTCATAACTTAGCGCTATATATATAGATACAAAAAAAACAATATATACACATTTTCGTCCGACCACGTGGACATCAACACGTCGTGTGCATGTCCATCGTTGCTCTCGTTGCCAGGCGAAGGTACCACGCATTTAGCCAATAATTCCCTACACCCCGAAGTGATGGGGGGGGGGGGAGTCTTCACATCGCGTGGGGTCTCTGGGGATGGGGGGCACCAGAGGGGAGGGAGGATGCAAGATTGGTCCTCTCTCCCTCCAACAAATCCATCCACCCGTCTCCCCCAAACACCCCCCAGTCCTCTCTCTCTCTCTCTTCATGGCCGCTCGTGGTCTGGGCTACCCAGATGATGTTGCTGCTGCTGCTGTTGTTGTTGTTGGAGACCGACGGCCAAGCCCGGTTTGTGCTTCTTGAGCAGCTGGCTGATCTTCTCGTCGTCCGAGTTGGGGTCGAGCGGCTTGTTGTACTCGTCATCGTCCTCCTCCTCGTCGTTCTCCGACGTCTCCTTGAGACGCTCCGTCTCAGAGTCCTGCTTCTTCTTGGCGGTGGCCATCTCGGCCGCGTGCTTCTTCCGCCACTTGGTGCGACGGTTCTGGAACCAGACCTGCGAGACGGGGGGGGGGGTGGGGGGTGGGGGGAGAGAACGCGAGAGTTAAGGAGGGGAGTGAGAGGAGTGAGTCGTCGGAGAGAGAGATAAGTGAGCCATTGAAGAGAAAGAGAAATAAGTGAGCCGTCGGAGAGAGAGAGAGAAGAGATAAGTGAGTCGTTGAAGAGAAAGATAAATAAGTGAGCCATTGAAGAGATAGAGAGATAAGTGAGTCATTGAAGATAGAGAGAGATAAGTGAGCCATTGAAGAGATAGAGAGATAAGTGAGTCATTGAAGATAGAGAGATACGTGAGTCATTGAAGAGAGAGAGAGATAAGTGAGCCATTGAAGAAAGAGAGAGATAAGTGAGTCATTGAAGATAAAGAGAGATAAGTGAGCCAATGAAGATAAAGAGAGATAAGTGAGTCATTGAAGAGAACGAGAGATAAGTGAGCCATTGAAGATAGAGAGAGATAAGTGAGCCATTGAAGATAAAGAGAGATAAGTGAGTCATTGAAGAGAAAGAGAGATAAGTGAGCCATTGAAGAGAGAGGAGATAAGTGAGCCATTGAAGAGAAAGAGATAAGTGAGTCATTGAAGAGAGAGATAAGTGAGCCATTGAAGATAGAGAGATAAGTGAGTCATTGAAGAGAGAGATAGGTGAGCCATTGAAGAGAAAGAGAAATAAGTGAGTCATTGAAGAGATAGAGAGATAAGTGAGCCATTGAAGATAAAGAGAGATAAGTGAGTCATTGAAGAGAAAGAGAGATAAGTGAGCCATTGAAGAGAGAGAGATAAGTGAGTCATTGAAAAGAAAGAGATAAGTGAGTCATTGAAGAGAGAGAGATAAGTGAGCCATTGAAGATAGAGAGATACGTGAGTCATTGAAGAAAGAGAGAGATAAGTGAGCCATTGAAGAGAAAGAGAGATAAGTGCGCCATTGAAGAGAGAGAGAGAGATAAGTGAGCCGTTGAAGAGAAAGAGAGATAAGTGAGTCATTGAAGAGAGAGATAAGTGAGTCGTTGAAGATAGAGAGAGATAAGTGAGTCACTGAAGAGAAAGAGAGATAAGTGAGTCATTGAAGAGATAGAGAGATATGTGAGTCGTTGAAGAGAGAGAGATAAGTGAGTCATTGAAGATAGAGAGAGATAAGTGAGCCATTGAAGATAGAGAGAGATAAGTGAGCCATTGAAGATAGAGAGAGATAAGTGAGTCATTGAAGATAGAGAGAGATAAGTGAGCCATTGAAGAGAGAGAGATAAGTGAGTCGTTGAAGAGAAAGAGAGATAAGTGAGTCGTTGAAGAGAAAGAGAGATACGTGAGTCATTGAAGATAAAGAGAGATAAGTGAGTCATTAAAGAGAAAGAGAGATAAGTGAGCCATTGAAGATAGAGAGAGATACGTGAGTCGTTGAAGATAAAGAGAGATAAGTGAGTCATTAAAGAGAAAGAGAGATAAGTGAGCCATTGAAGATAGAGAGAGATAAGTGAGCCATTGAAGAGAGAGAGATAAGTGAGTCATTGAAGAGAAAGAGAGATAAGTGAGCCATTGAAGATAGAGAGATAAGTGAGTCGTTGAAGAGAAAAAGAGATAAGTGAGTCGTCGCAGAGAGAAATAAGTGATCCGTCAGAGAGAGAGGGAAGTGAGCGAGACGCAATCGACGCTGAAATGCGTAAAATCCGCAGGCATCACGTCAAGCTGTCAAGTGACATTAACGTCAGTTGGCAAAATGACTCGATAATTAAGCGTTATCATCAGCCATGATCAATCCACCGCTGGATGAAGGCCTCCCGCCCCCCCTCCCCCCCGCAAGCCGTCATCATCTCTCACAGTCCTCGTGCGATGTAACAATCCACGCGGGGAGCTATCTGCCACAAGAACCGATTTCACTGCTTGGACCCTGGCTCTCAACGTAATTAAATGCGCGTATTAGTGTACAGTCTATCGCCGCGCAGTACTGGCAAGACGCAAGGACTGCTTTGGAATGAGCAAACTTCGTATCAGTTTCGACTTTTCCGAGTCTCATCAGCAGAATCGTGCCTGTTAAATCCCGCTTTATTGACAGATGTGCTGAGCAAAAGGCTATCGGGTCTATACGACCGCGCATAATGAGTTTGGTTTTAAGGATGATGAAACACGCAATTTTATATTTTTTTTTCTCGAAACATACACACACGTTACAAAGACACCCAATAAAATATTCAAACGTAAATTTAAATTCCCAAGTGACTGCGATATCAGTATCAGATGATCAGAGGGGAAATGCAGTTGTATTCAATTAATGTCATCTACTAGACTAGCGCGTCGGATTCACACGTACACGCATATAATCGCGCCACTGCTGGATGAGGGCCTCCCCACGTAATACATTCGTAAATAACAGTGTAGTATTACAATAAAAATATATACGCATACTATTCTACGATTCGGGTAATGACCCTTCTTAATATAGCGTGCACGTACAAATGCGTCGTAGGGGTTATTTGATCACACTGCATGGTGGTAGAAATTCTCCCCAAAATATTCGCAAAACAAACAAACCAGCCTCACAAAAAGCAGGGTTTTCAATTAGACCCGGGACACGCTGGCCATGAGATTCAGCTTACTCCGTGCCGTCAGAGTAATTATTACGACTTGGGCCTGCGCTAAATATGAATTTGGAATGAATGGTCCGCAAACAAAATGCGTTATTTTTTTTTTAAAAAATGCATTTATAAATATGATCGCACGTTAACAAATTGGCGAATATACGAGCCACATTGTTTGTATTAAATGACCCTAATTCCCCGGTGGGTAGTGGAGTGTGCAGTTTGTAACCCCGGAGGACAAAGATGTATTCATTACTTAAATCCATGTACGCCCCATGCACACACACATGCACCCACACAAATATAACACTGATATATAGTCACACACTAATTATGGGCTGGGGGATGGGTACCGAACAAAAAACATTAAAGAAAATAATTACTGCAATTCAATACGATTTATACGCCGCGGAAATTAACTGCTAATTTTGCAAAAATCATGGACGGCCTCGAGTTATGGCATTCTGCACAGCGCCACGTGCGTTATTACCACGGGTGTGGCGTTTCGCGCAAGAACAGCGGGTTATTAACACTCGACTCCGATAAAGCACAGCGTTTAAGTTTCTCTTGCGTGCATAACAAGGCGTGTTAGAGCAAACGGTGATCATTCGAGCACGGGTTGTGCGTCCCCATACATCACAACGATCACGTGAATTGCAAAGGGGTTTGGCGCAACTGCATTGTTGAACGCCGCAACGTGAATTCGATTCGCAGCGACGGCTAAGGTCAGCGGTCGAGTCATATCCGACTGACCGGTCATTAACCCTCATGGCTAATGTGTACTGGACCAGCGTGGTGAAGTATAGTCAATTGACTCCCCCATAACCGACACGACGTGCGTGGGAAGGCCGTCATCTAACAGTGGATTGACCAGGAGGGTGTCATTTTGAATCGGTGTCAATTACGCGCGGTTCCACGTAAAGCATCGTGCGACATCCATCTGCATCCTCGCTGTGCTGTGTAACCTGTCTGGGTGAACGTACAAGACATCCCTCCATCTCCAAGTCTCCACACTGCCGTATATACACCCCTCGTCCATGCACTCTCCTACTCATCATCATCATCATCACTACCACCACAACCACTGCCACGTTGCCCCCCCCCCCCCCACTCCCTCCGTCTCTCTCACCTTAACCTGACTCTCCGTCATTCCCAGCGAGTAGGCGAGTCTGGCGCGCTCGGGACCCGCCAGGTACTTGGTCTGCTCGAAGGTCTTCTCCAGCGCGAAGATCTGCTGGCCCGAGAAGGTCGGCCTCGTGTGCTTTCGCTTCCCATCCTTGTCAAGAACCACTGCGCCGGACGCTGCACGCACACGCACGAGAACACAAACGCAAGGGGAGGGGAGTGGGGGGGGGGGAAGGATGGGGAGGTTGAGGGGTCGAGGATGTCGGGGAGGAGGAGGAGGAGAAGGAAGGGAGACGGGGAGCGCGCCGATTTGCGTTAGGCTGAGAAACCGTCACTCCGCGTCTCGCATCTCCAAATATTCCCCACGACATTTGCACGGACTTCGTGGCTCGGGGCCGCTGCGTTTGAGTCGGTTTGGTGGCCGGTCACACCGTGGGCATTGTGGGTCTATCCACAGGAGCAGCGATTCCGATGAGGGTGCTCTTGGCGTTATCCTAAGACGGCTGTTCTACCTAATAACACCACGTGCATGGCACGCGTTACGTACGCTGTGGTGACGCGTGTGTTCGTGGCCGTATACAATAAATGGCCAGCGCACTGCACTACGAACCCGCCCACCCCGAGTTCGATTCCTGCTCACGACCAACGTAACAGTGGCAAATATTTGCACGGGTCTTGAGCCTCGCCTATGTTGACTCAGCCGTAAAATGAGTGCCCGATGCGGCGTGTAGGCGTCGGCACTCGGGGAGACAAAGGCGACCGGGCGTCGCGTTGGCCACCCGCCCCCTGCGTGTGCCACAGTGCCGGCCTTCATAGGTGCTCGCTAACAGCACTTGCCGCAAAAGTCTGTTAAGGCTACGCGGGGGATCTTTTGTATAAATGCACGTGGGGAGCGACAGTGTAGTGCTCAGCGCACTACGCAACGAACCCGACCACCCGCGTTCCATTCCCACTCACGACCAATAACAAACGGCGGCGAATATTTGTTGGGTGGACGTCTCGTGGGTCGACTCAGCCTTAAACGAGTGCATGAAGCGGCGTGTAAACATCATTGGGGAGAGAGAACGATGGCTGGGCGCGGTCTCGGCCCCCACTATCCCCCTCGTGCGCGGTTACAGCCTTAATAGGTGCTCGCTAACTGCACTTGCCGTAACAGCCTGTTAAAGGCTACGTGGGGGAATACTCTGTATAAATCTATATAAATGTACGGCAATGTGTGTAGGAGCGAGCTCATGTTATGTTTTCGTGTTATTCTCATGCTGTGTGTGCGTCTATATATGTGTGTGTCTATGTGTGTGTGTGTCTATGTGTGTGTGTCTATATGTGTGTGTGTGTCTATATGTGTGTGTGTCTATGTGTGTGTGTGTCTATACGTGTGTGTGTCTATGTGTGTGCGTATCTATATGTGTGTGTGTCTATGTGTGTGTGTCTATGTGTGTGTGTGTATATGTGTGTGTGTGTTTATATGTTTGTGTTTATATGTTTGTGTGTCTATGTGTGTGTGTGTCTATATGTGTGTGTGTCTATGTTTGTGTGTTTATATGTTTGTGTGTCAATGTGTGTGTGGGGAGCGGTGGTGTAGCGGTTAGCGCGCTGCGTTACGAACCTGGCGACTCGAGTTCTATTCCCGCTCACGGCCAAAATCAGTGACGATTATCTGAACCGGTCCTGGGCCTCCCCTAGGTCGACTCAGCCTCAAATGAGTACCTGGTGTGGTATGTAAACATCGCCACTGGGGAGACAAGGCGGCCAGGCGTGGTGCTGGCAACCCAGCCCTCGTGTGCCGTTATGGCCTTCATAGGTGCTCGCTAACAGCACTTGCCCCAACAGTCTGTTACAGGCTATACGGGGGATCTTTGTATCTATCTGTATGTGTGTCTATGTGTGCATTCTGAAAATAAAGTGCATAAGCATCCTCACGTAATTTTATGCTGACAGTTATCACCTTGCGTGTATGCTTGCACGTGAGTTTCGGTGTGTAAATAATAACCCTGTGTCTCTGAGTGGCTTCAAACACGTAAAGATTATCATGCTATGTATGTGTGAAAGTATGCGTATATATGTGTGTGTGTGAACAGCACCTGCTCTAAGACTAAACGGATGGTATTTGTCTTTGTATGCATAAATGTATACGTAGTTCTTTGAAGCGGCGTCGATCATACGATTAAAATTAAAAGGTTACATCTGTACGTGTGTGTGTATGTATGTATATACGTGTGTATGCATTCACATTTTGTGTTTGTGTGTATGTATCTACGTAGTGTCTTCCAGGTAGTATAGGATACCTTTTGTATTGCGCGCGCGTGTGTGTATGTGTGTGTACGTGTATGTGTGTGTATGTGTGTTTAAGTGTGTATGTGTGTGTGTAAGTGTGTATGTAATGACGGATACACGATTCTCACCGCACGGGTCTCCGTGTAAAATGTTTTCCTCAAAACAAGAAAAGGGGACGGGCAACAATTTCAAATGGCAACTATTACGCAAATGTAGAATGTGATTACATCGTTATGGTGATTGGGGCTCGTCGGAAATTGACACGAGGACTGACACCACCTCTCGCTCGCTTGCCTCGTGCTGTGAGCGTTTAACCCCGAGCCGCAGTCTGAACGGACCGCCCGCGGCTATCGGGCCATCTACACGCGCTTACACGTACGTTCTAACACCTCCTCTGTCAAATATTAAACGTGTTTTCCTTCAAGATAATCTGCAATCCCATTACTCTAACGGGTCAACTGGGAATTTGCTATCGTACTTGCAATTGAAAAGCGTGGTCTTGTTCAAATAAATATATTTGTGTGTATACGCGTGCGTTAAACTTGCGATGCCATTATTTAACATGGTTGGCTAATTATTGCATCTATGGCTTTAACAAAAAGAAAACCACAAAAGCCACCTTCGTGAGAATACATTTAAATGTACAAATGCCAAATCTACAAGTGTGAATTACAACAGCGAGCGAGCTTCATTACTAATATATATCTCAAAAAGGTGTAAAACAATCAAATTATAACGAGGGATTATTAATTCATTCACCCACAATATGTTAAAGGTCGAGTGTGAGTGCGAGGTAAATTCTGTGGGTGTCAAGCGGTGATGTCTCTCGGACGAGTGGAGCTGTGTCGTCATTGCAATCCACCTGCCGACGGCGTTCTGCGAATATCCCAAATATGTACTTCTGGCAATGTTCAAATGTGTCCTTAGAAGAAAATAAAAAAAATACTTCCGTGGAAACAAAAACGAATACATTTTAAAACAAAACTATCCACACAAACTCGAGATTTCAAATTGTGACGTTCAGAATGCGTTCTGCATTAAGCTACGTCGCCGCCGCTACAGGAGACTGTCTCTTTACGCGGACAAAACTAGAATGTAAATAAAAAAAATACAACGACAGCGAAACCAGTCGTCGATGAAAAACGACAAATTTCGTGAACTTATTTGCGCGACCAACACTGGACGGGAAGCGACAGTCGTCATGGTTATTTTATAGCGACGACGATGTCTTAGGCACGGTATACGCGCGTGTGTAGTCGAAACTTACATTTGTACGAGTTCATTAAATTGTCGTATTGATTCGATGTTTCATTTGAAATCGCTCCAAGTGAATGCCGCGTGCTTGTATATTCGTGAAACCGACAATGATTGACTCGCGTCTTTACTTATTATTAACTGCGTATTTGTCAGCAGAAACTTGCATGCCAAGAACGCGTCCCACGCTGATTTCACGTGCTATTTCTGCTCGCGTTTAATTGCTCGTGAACACGTTCAATCCGCCGCGTATTAAAGTCGCCGTGAAACTTAAAGAGCAAAACCCGAGCAAAAGCCAGAGCCTTGTAGAGTTGACAATCTAAACTCGGGCGCTAATTGCACCGACAGCACGACAGCACTCGCAACGCCCGGCTCACGGCCGCACGCAAGTCATCTCCTCGCCCCAAGACTCGGACGGACAATTCTCCTTCCGTGCTTGCGCTCCGCTCAATTATCACGCGCAAACCTCACACGTGAACAACGGCGCGCATCACAACCCCCCTGCCCGCACCGCTGGGCGTTACAACGAGACGTCAACGACAAAAAAAAAAACGCCAAACGAGAGCACCGCTTGCGCATCGCGACCAACACCGCCGTGTAATCACGCGCGCCTCGCTCGGACCCGAGCTCACTCACTCGGGGAGCAGCCGAGGCGCGCGTCTCTCCACGGCGACGTCTGCATGAGTCCCGGCCAGAAGATGGGCGGGCGGCCCGGCAGCTCGGCCAGTGGCTTCGGGTAACGGCCGGCTGCGGCGTGAGCGGCCGCGGCTGCGTGAGCGGCCGCCGCGGCGCCGTGGCCGAAGTAGACGCCCGCCGAGGCGGCCCCCGGGTTAGCCCCGATGCCCCCGAGGCCCCTGGTGAGCCCGGCCGACAGCAGCCCCGGCCCCACGCCGCCGGCGCAATGCATCGAGGGCCGCCCCAGGATGTCGTTGATGCCGTGCGGTGTCGCGGCCGCTGCGGCGGCTGCAGCCGCGGCCAGCTGCGAGCTGAGTCCGGTGAGTCCCGCGGCCGAGTGAGTCTTGAAGCCGGCCGAGTGCGAGTTCTGCATCGCGTACTGGTACAGGGGCGCCTTCATCTCGGTCATGCTGTGCAGGGCTGCCAGAGGAGGGCTGCTGAGGACGAAAGCGCTCTGCCGGTTCGTAGCATCCATATGCCCGACGGCTAACATTACAGCCGGTCCGTGCGGAGCGGTCGACGACGAGCACTGGCACTCGGCAGCAGGGACGAGAGGAGGACAGCGAGCGAGAGAGAGAGAGTGGGAGAGAGGGAGAGCGAGCGGGAGAGCGAGCGGGAGCGGAGGGGGGCAGACAGAAAAGTGCTCTTTTACAAAGTGAGTGAGAGAGAGAGAGCTCCAAACGAGAGGCGAGACGAGAGGGGAAGAAGGGGTTGGAGGTGGGGAGGGGTGTGTACGGGGAGGGGGTGGGAGGGCGAGAGAGGCGGACAGAGATGTTGTAGAGAGAGAGAGAGACGCGGAGAGAGTTAGGCAGAGAGATGGAGGCGCTCGGGAGGACGCGGGGCCCCGTTGCAGTGGGGTTCGCGCGGAGTGCGGCGTGCCGGGCACTGCGTTGTTTTTGTTGTTCGCGGCGGTAGCAGCAGCGGCGGCAGCAGCCTCGAGGCGACGCGCGTTAAGTTTGAGTGCGAGAGGCCGCCTTGTTTGAGATGCGAGCCCGTGATAAAGGCGGCTGGAGCCCGCCGAGACCGCCTCCCATTGGCCGACGCTGCCGATGGAGTATCCCTTCCTCACCCCTTCCTCCTTTCTCCGCCTCCCTCCTCGACTACCCCCCCCCCCCTATCCTCTGCCCCCCCCCCTCCAGCCCCCGCCCCCCGCCCGACTCGCCTCCACCGCTGTGTGTGTTCAGTTGATGCCTCGATGCGCATTTGCATGCTCGAAGGCCGCCCGGACAACACGAGGGGTTCGTGGCACCACCCTGCATTGTAGCCGGCCGTAAGTTGTCGAGCAGCGAAGTGCTGCTGCTGCTACTGCTGCCGATGATGTCCAGAGAAGCCGCAGCCGCGTCAGGGTGGGCCTTGTTTGGTACGAACAAGTGATGCTGGAAACAACGTTGGTTCGGGAAAAAAGTCAAATAATATTCGACGGGTCTGGGCAGTTTTGATTCTGAATATTGTGATGTAACGCATCGTAAAGGAACTGGCCAAACTGAACCCGAGCAAGATCCTCCTGGGCAGGAGGGGTATTGAGCCACGCCTATGAATTACTGTTTAAAAAAAAAAAACGCCATTATGAACGTGCCATCAGGATCTCGATGGAAGCGGCGATTTATCGAATTTTAGTTTCCCCTGTGATATTGTACGCCACGATACAGAATCGCGTGTGTAGACACTTTGCACATCCTGCATGTGTACAGAGATCTCGTCATTGAAGTAGAGCACAAATGTATTACTAGTTGCCACTGCCCATGGTTATATACGTGAGTATGCATTTATCTGTAGGTATATGTATACGTGTGCACTGCAGGTCAACGCGTGTCTATGTACGTGAATGTATGTGGGTGGTAGTGTCGCGATTAGCGCACTGCGCTAAGAACCCGGCTACCCGAATTCGATGTCAGCTCACGGACAATAGTGATGATTATCTGAACCAGTCCTGGGCTCTCCGTAGGTCGATTCATACTCAAATGGGTACCTAGTGCTGCATGTATGAAACACCAGCCCTGGGGAGACAAAGGTGACCAAGTGGTTTATTAACAGGTGCTCACTAACAGCACTTGCCCCAACAGTCTGTAAAAAGCCTGTATGGGGGGTGTTTGCATTTGCTGGTATGTGAATATATATAATTGTGTGCCACGTGCATGTGTCCATATGCATATACTAACGTGAATGCAGTAATGCGAACACACCTGTGATAAACTTTGCAATTATTTGCTGGGTTTACACGTGAATTGCTGAGCACATATCCCGCCTGCCCGTAATATATCTGCATTGTACCAACTGTTTCTGCAATTCTTGGACGTTTTGAAGTTTGTTTTTTTCGTATAAACGTTCCCTATTGGCTTACTCTAAAAAAAAGCCACAGATATATGTATGTATAAGGGCGTCTTTGTAGATATATACTTAGGATGTAGATATTTGAACCGGGAAACCTGAGTTTGATTCCAGGCTACGGTTAGCGTCGGTGGCGAGTAATGTCTGAATCAGTCTCGGGCTCACCGACCCTCTCCCCATCACTGACCAGGTGCGGTTACACCCCCCCCCTCCTCCTCCCATGAGCGACAGCGCGTGGGAAGCCTTCATCCAGCAGTGAACTGGCACAGAGGTGACAATCACGATTGCAATTGCGTAGGCAACACCAGTATACATATATAACGCGTAGGTCGTACGTGTATTTGTTTGGAATGTTTTTTTTACCGTAGTCCGTACTGCAGCCGTGCGCTTGCTGCGAGTGTTGGGTAAACTAGAACATCAAGGACAAGCGTGCGTGCCACGCTAGAATGTCATGAAATTTAGATGCAACACAATTGCCTCCGCCCTAAACTAAACTGTTTTCATGTTTACCAGGTAAGGCTCAACGAGATCTGTAGCTCTGTTTTTGAGAAGCGACCTGGCCACAAATGATATATCAACGAAGTGGCTTGTCACGTGTAAATTGATAGCAGCCAAATGATCTAAACGAGTGTTTCTAAATGTGGAGGGAAAACCCGGTGGACCCAGATAAAAAAAAATCCACACGACCACGGGCAGAAGATGCAAACTCCAAATATACAGCAGCAGGCGTCAGGGTCGAGATTGAACCCGAGAACTCCTGTACACCAGGCGAGGTAGTGAACATCTCGTCGCCCTGGCACCCACACGCGACCATCTGCCCTAAGAGAACCACGGTGACTCTAGCCATGTAAACGCAATATGATTGGACAGCCTTCTGCCAACGCACCCCTGGATGAAGGACTCCCCCACACACTGCTGTCGATTATGGGGGTTGTTTGACCATACTTCACCACGCTGGCAAAGTGCGGGTTGGTGAGTGAGGGATGCTGGTGGAGGTGGGGAGCTGGAAAGCGGCCGGAATCGAACACAGGTGGCCGAAATGCAAAGCGCAGTGCGCTAACCACCGAGCCATCGCTCGCCCCTTTTGATTTGAAGCGCGCGGCCAATAAATCCGTAGGTCAACAAGTGTCTGTATACGATGTATATTATTATTGTTTACTTATATATTAACCAATTGAACGGTCGTACGAGATGCAATTCGTCTTCAATGCGCCTATAGTTTTACAGTAAGAGTCTCGCATAATAATAATAATCATGATGATAAACCTTTGCACAATGACGCAATACCGAGCTTGTAATCCACGTATGGCCTATCCGGGATCACACTCATGCGTTTCAAATAAACTCGGCTGACAGAGGCAATACACTGTTGCGACTTAATACACACACACACACTTGTGCACACACGTGCATACACACATACCCATACTAACACGCACACATACGCGCGCACAGACGAAGGCAAAAACAATCCCCAGTATTGCCTTTAAAAGACTGTTGGGGCAAGTGCCGTTAGTGGGCACACTCGCAAACAGGTGCGCGCACGTATAAACATACACACAAAGATACGCGTATACGTGCGAACAACCACGCACACTCACAGCAATACAAACATAAGCGTACACGCAAATACACATATCCCCCGTATAGTCTCAACAGACGTTTGAGGCAAGTACTGTTAGGGAGCACCTATTAAGGTCGGCACGACACACAATCCCCACCGCAAATGCAAAGACGCGCACAAAGGCACACGTGCATACAGAGACATATACACACACGTACATGCAAAAGGACAATCACACACACAAACAGCGGTATCTGCTGGGCTGCAGTACGCAGAGGGTAAAGTCAAGAGGTTTAAGTCCAATTCAATCGCAGCGCTTAGCGATACGGGGGAAGCTCACAGCTTCCCCGGGGTCGTACACGCAGCTCCCGAGGGAGGATGGGGGGGGGGGTACAGGATACGGGGGTACACAGGGAGCCTAGGTGGGGTCCGGTGGGAGAGATCATAGAAGGGGTAGAGATGCAGGGAGTGAGTGGTGAGACGTAGAAATATATCGCTTGTCAAACCTGCCAGATGTTTGGTGCAGGAGTCGAGGGAACGGCAGAGGCATCGGTGTGTGTGTGGGCAATGTCGCTCCATTGATGTAGCGACCGATACATAAACCCGCCTCTCAAGTAGCCTACAGCACCGTGTCCATAACCAATGACTCAACGCGGTTCTTGGTCTCTGCTTGTGTGTTTTTTTTTTCTTTAAGTTTGGTATCTCCGATTTTTTTTGCTGATGTTATTATCGTCTTGTTGTCGTTGTTGTTAGATGAGACGCCGTAGATTCGCTCGTTGTTGGTAAATATTTAAAATAATTTCCCCCACCCGCAAAAAAAAAAACGCCCGTCAAACGGAGTGCAAAGGATGAGAGTGGTACGATGTGCATGCGATGTGGTACGATGTGCGTGCGATGTGGTACGATGTGCGGGCGACGTGCGTGCGATGTGCGTGCGATGTGGTACGATGTGCGTGCGATGTGCGTGCGATGTGGTACGATGTGCATGCGATGTATGTGCGGTTGCGCGCTAATCTGCGGGGGGGGGGGGGGGGGCGGCGGGGGGTGGAATGGTCTGACTCGGCGAGGCGTGAGAGTGTTGCGATGCGCGCGTTGTGCGGGATGCGTGCCGGGTTGGATCGAGTCGCTCCCGACAGAAGCAGCGGCAGCCACCACATTTTGGGGCGCTCTCCGGTCGCTACAGCGTTTTGTTCGCTGCGACATCCGACGTTTCGATCCACGTCCCCGGGAGCGTCTTCTTCTTCTTGGGTCTACGTCGTAGTTTTGCAGCTTAAATTGTTGGCGGTGGTTTTGTCGTTTATGCAGGAAAGGCCGCACTGAGTCTCAAGGCTCATTTTTTGGTGATGGTCATGTATTTTGGATAATTGCTGCAAAAGGCTTTCTTGAGGAGTCGCATATAATTGACGCTTTGAATGGCCATCGTGTTCGAAAGCCGATGTGACATCCTAATGTTTTGTATAACTGCGGGTATAGCCCATCACTAGATCACGTATGACCAATGAGGATGATGATGTTGAGTTCATATTAATAATGTTGTCTGGGATGTTTCCCAAAGTGGTCATGTACATGTTCATGTTTTTTTTTTTACTTTGGACGACTTCATTAAAGCGACACACTGGGTTATTTCAATCATTTTAGCGCTATTCCTCAAATGGATGACGCGTCACCGCCATACAATATGTACGCATAAATAAATATATAAACACATGTACACGTAACTATAAAATAGAACATTGTTAATAACACCGGTAACTGTAAGATTGCTATCTCATTTGTGTCTGCTTATTTATGTATATGTAAACTTACATTTTTCATCGTCAGCAGCAGCCATGATCGATCCACTGCTGGATAAAGCACCCTCCCCTACGATGATGGAAGTAATCCACTTGTGCACTCTTGTGAATAAACTGTAAACATTTAACACGTTGTACAAATGTGTACTGTCGAACGTTTATTACTTTGTTAGCGAAAGCGCACCGTGCCTTGTTTACGATGATTATAAATTGACGAATAGTTAATTCAGAGTGGTGCGTATGTGTGTGCCGTTTATGCACGTTGCGAGTGTGTGTGTGCACATACACACATACACACGTACTTACGTGTGTGTGTGTGTGCACGTGTTCTCTATCAGGCCGTTGTTAAAGGCCGATAACAACTCCGCTGCCAATCAATGGCTTTTTCTTGAGATAATAC